GTTGCAAATTTTCTTTTTTTTTATTTATAGATGATCAATAAATGGAAGCTGTTTTAAAATACCATCACTAGTCGCGTATTTTATGCAATTGCTTTTATTTGATGAAAAATATCTATTCATACCACTGAATGATTCCACTTTGCACAACATCTATGAATATACACATAATCTACATCAAACAAAAAACCACTTATTTAGAACTTTGTTAAGTTTATTTGCTCTGAAGCATCGTACAGCTAAACAATATTCATTTTTATTCATTTGTGTGTTTTTATTCGTTTTAAAATGCAGTCTAAAAATAAAACATAGTGGTTTAGTTTATTTAAAAAAACATTATTCTATCACACGTAGTAATAAATTGCCCCGTAAAAAAAAAACATTAGTAAATAATTGAAAATAATAAATCAATAAAAATATTATTTCAAGAAAACGGACTTTCTTTTATAACAATAAATCTAAAACAATTATTGTAAATTTGGAAATTAATAGAACAAAAGAAAATAAATGTGTGAAAATTTTTAAAATAATTTCATGAATCATTAAAAATTGAATAAGGTCTCATTAATAAGATAAACTGTTAGTGAATTGTTAAAAAATGAAATCATTCTGCTAATAAAACATTAAATGTCAAGTTTATTGTAATAAATTTGATAAAAAAGAGTTAAATAAAAGTAGATACACGTTATTTGAGAAATGAGAATATGATTTACTTAAAAGATAATTAAAAATTTTCAATCAATAATTTAGTGAGTACGTATTATTATAAAGTATACTGTAAAACACGCTCGAGAGTATATGGAGCTACTAGCTAAAGATAAGAGGAAAGAAAGAAGTGGTAATACCGGTTTGCTATGTCGTTTCTTGCATGTGGTAGTTTCTTCGAGCATAAGACTTTATTCTCCAGTTACTTTATTCTCTTTTTCACAGACTTCGTCTCGGTTATATTCACGTCTTCCGGTCGTTCAAGGTGCAATCGAAGCCAGTTGATCTACATCGATTATCATATTGTATATCGAGCACAAAAATACTTCTGAACTCTGTCTCTTTTGCTTATCTTTGATGAAAGAAATGCTTAAAATTCTGTCCACTCGGAATAATAGAATGAATTTTATTTTTTAAAAAAAAAAACTCCCTCGGAATATCAAAATAATAGAAATAATAATACTATACGGATTTGCCATGGATACAATGTTTTATTCTTAGGCAAATAATGCTGACATTAAAAGAAAAACAAATTCACATTAAAATGTACAATGGGTAAAAAGCAAAAAAAAAAAAAAATATTAGACCAAAATAATAACACATTTTGTTTGTCAGAAATAATATTCACATATTTATCCTAACATTTAAATTATAGTTTTGTTTACATGTCCAGCGGGGTTTTTTTTAATGACCCGATTTGGTAGAAAAATGAGCCGGATGTATTTATCAAATTTTTATAGTATCCATCGACTAACGAGCAAAAAAGAAGGCTGATTAATTGAAATAGAAAACTGAAATTAATATTCATTCTACCATGATAATGTTTTTTTAAATAACTGTACTATATTATTTTTTTGTGTAAAAAATGAAAAGTTAAACTTGACCATTTCACGAAGTTCTTTTTTTTTTTACTGCCCTAATATTCTATAAAATATCAATAAATTTATATTTATATTGGAAAAATAAAAAATTCGATATTATTGTATCCTTTTAATTCAAAAAACAATATAAAATTAATTATTTTCAATATCATAAGTTAGTTACTAAAAAAAAAGCTCGGCATGTATTTGGATTTCTACCTTATACACAACATTCTGAAATAAGGAGAAAACGATAGATTAAGATGAATAATGAGCCTGTCTAAAGCATATTTGAGAAATATCCCGATAACATCAGGATATGATTATTTTAAAAAAATTTTCATTTTCTTTTTTCTCTCTTTCATTTATTTAATTTTTTTTCTTTAACTATATTTCGGTCTTAAAAAAAGAGGTAATTAAAAAAATTTATGCTTTGTGAAAACTTTTTTTCCGCTTCATGAGTATATACCAGAAGTAAAAATAAAAGAAAAAATGGCGTGAAAAATGTATGTCGAAATAATTAACCGTCGAACTTTTTGCTGTGAACAAAGAATGTTTTGCAGATGATGATCATGAAACGAGGTAAAGAAGAAATAAAAGGGAGAAAAAAGTCTAAAGAAACGGAAACAAGAGCGATAAGTAAAGAGGGTAAGTTAAAAAAAGTGGGTCAAATGAACGAACGAACGAACATTGAGTAAAACACAGCTATCATCATCCAGTGATCTGTATCACTCATACACTGAATGTCTAGTCGTACTTTTCAGCTTTTTTCATTATTATCATTATCATCGTCAAAAACTCATTCATGCATTTCTTCCTCCCTCAAATGTATGTGTCGGTAATGCCAAGACGATAGCTGGGATTATGGCGATGTAGGTACGTCTGAGATACCACAACGTCGCCAACGAGCATCTCTCTGTAATAAACGAGAGGTGGAGAACCAAAGTCAGTCACGTAATACTCGGGCGTTGTCGTTGGGTTGGTGCGAGAATCCCGTACGTGCCTCCCTCAGCATTAATCACGCGTGGTTAATTAACACGAGAGGGAGAGAAAGTCGAGCAAGACAAAGAAAAAATAATCATTTGATGCTGTTCCGACGACGAATCGCGACGCATTAATCATACTTTGTAAACTGTTCATAATTTTGTTGTTATTATAACTACCTTCGTAATTTAATCATAATTATGATAACGATGAAAATTGTAATGACACATTTTATGAATATTTTTGAAATATTTCAGTGATATTATTTCATACATTTTTAATCATTATATACTGTTTTTTAAACAATAGAAATGTTAGAATAGAAAGTATTATTATATCATGAATTCAACAACTCATATCCACTAATGCAGTGCCTATAGAACTGTGATGACTGAACAGATTTCAATAAATGCAGTGTTAAGCTCTGACTTTAATCTCATGAATGACACCTGGTATATTGATGTTGACAAAAAAAGACAAATTGTAAGCGTATACAAAATTCATCATTTTTTTTTCTAAAATAAGTATTTTCATTATTTTATGTTAATTCATTATGATTCAGTTCCGTAGTATAACTACGGAAAAAATTAAGAATTTAATTTAAAAAAAAGTATGAAATTGAAGTAAAAATTCCTTCGTGTTAATTTACAAATAAAAATATTTCAATGTTCATAAATATTTATAGTATGACTTTGAAGATAAGAATTTAATCATTCATTTATCGCTAATTTTTCAACATTAAACAATATAAAAATCCTGAAGATGTACAAATACCAAGCCGATTACGTCAGAGTTTGAATCCTTCCGAGAACTCGACACGTATTATACCTAAGCTATACGGCTTCTCGCGTTTTTTCTTCACATCGTCATTCAGGAAGAAACGGGTTCTTCTCTTTCATCCTATCCTATAGTGAAAAATTTTTTGTTACATCCATGTTATAAGTTGATTGCCCACCCACGAAGAATAAATAAATAACGTAATTGATACTTTGATGCCTTATCACGAATGTGCATGCATAGATAACTGATATAACGTCATACGGAATACATTTAGTGTATGACCACTCTTACTATAGTGACGATAAATGAAGGGCTGAACACATTTTGATTTGTCTCCATTTACGATCGACGAACCGCACATGTGCGGCCACACTGGCAACACGAAAACCTCGCAACTATTTCTCTGCTCCCTTTACTCTCCTGTCACTGTGGCTGACATGAGCTGTCAAGTCACGTCATCTACGACCACGGGCCAGATTTTCAAACAATATTATTCGCAGCTAGCGATATTTTATTTATGCAATATTTCACGTATACTTTCAGGACGTGAGAGAAAATGGTCTTAGTTTGACATTGATCACTTTTACTTTATGTGTTTTGTCTAATTATTTTTATCATATAATATTCAATAAATATCATGTGATATTCCGATAAACTTCAATCAGAAAAGCAAAACTGTTTCTAACGACACATCATACATGAAATCTAGTTCATATCATCAATAATCTATTTCTAAGAACTGTTTAGTTATTACTTCAAGTCATTTTCAATAAATACCTTTATATATAATTGATCTCTTGAACTTTTAATAATATAAAAAAAATGTCTAGTCACGATATTAATAAATAAATTATAAATATTCCGTGATGAAGTATTTTGTATAGTTATTTATAGACTTGATATTATATTTTTAAGATTTATTTCCTGTTAAAAGTAATTTTAGATTATTATGCCATTAAATATGCAATAATTTGCTTCTTCATTATCGGAGAATCTTTTTTCTTTGAATCTTCCTTGGTATTTTAGAACAATTTTAAAGCTGCTAAAATATTCTACACTTTAGGAAGAAAAATTGTAAAGTTATTTTTTAAGCCTCTTATTAAACGGCAGCTGCAATTGATTATGTTGAAGATCTACTGTCAACTCGAATGGCGTTGATTTTTGGGGTAATTTTAACAGTCCAGATGTTTCAATTTTTTGAAAAAAAATATTTATAACAGAATATGCATTTTTTCATTTTATAAACAAAAAATCGTGCGTCAATTAAATTGTAACAATAACTAAATATTTCCTCAAAAAAAAAAAAAAATATTAAAGTAACATAAAAAAATGATTTATATATTTATAAATTTAGCTGTAGGAAAAAATGTTGACTTAATATTTTGAAAATATTCTAGTTCGACGTCGTCATGACATACAATTATGAAAGAACATAAAACAAACCTATTTACTTTTGTCATGTGATTATGAGGTAAATTATTTAGAGGGTAATTTTTCAAGAATGACAATTCAGCGATTAAATATATGCAAAACGAACGAAATAACTTTTTATTCTGTTTCTATTGAGCGTAACTCATTAGCATATGTAAACTACCAACAGTGCATGCAAAACAAATAGAGTCTACTGAAGCAAAACAAAAAACGGCAATATATCGAGCTGAAGGTCAAACTCACCTTGTAATTCGATGATGTATCCTTTGTATGCATCCTCCGTTGAAATCTGCCTTCCCCATCCATAATCATTTACGGGTAATACACTTGTTTTTGACCTTTTCTTTTTATTTAAAACCGATTATTATTATGTATAGATTCATTTCTTGCTCCAAATAACTCCAATTATGAAATATTTTCACTATTTTTACGGCACTATTACTCATATATAAGTACAACACGATTTAGCGGGATAGTACACAAACTGTCGGCATATATATTGCAACTTTATTGAGACTAAGTCACTTGAAGATCATCGTCTCATGCTAGGGCGTTGCGTCACCGAGCAACGGTTAACCTTAAACCATGTATCTATCATTCTTTGTGACTTGGGTTTCTCTTCACACATCTACCGACGAGTCTTCATGTATTTACTTTTTTGCAAGTCTATAATCTGCGCATATAAACTGCTTAATAATCACTTGGAGATCACTATTTAATGTTTCATTAATTTTTAAAGTATGTCAAAACTAAATGAAGTAGAAAAAAAACATCTAAACACTAAAAATGTGCAAAAATGAACAACAACGATCGTTTATAAAGCATCAAATTTACACCACATATCATACAACTAACCGACACGGCGTCTTATTGCGCACTGGCGTGCCGAGTCCAAGCTGTGTAAGCGCCGAACTGTCGCGTCGAGTCGACTTCTCACGGAAACAACCGAATATGTACGAAAGGTATGGAATTTAACCGAAGCGCGAAAAATAGCACTTTAAACTATTTATAATTAATTTTTTATACTTTAATCTTGTTATATATATTTATTACACTATTTTTTGCTTATAATTAATAACGAATCATTAATGATTATTATTATTTTAATACAAAATAGGAAATGTAATTTAGAATTTCCACAAAACACATACATTCGTACATTTTATATCAATTCTTTAAAGAAATTGGAAAAATTACTATTTAGTGATAAATCAAAGAATTACTAAAAATGTTACATCATAATTTATTGAATTGTAACAAGAAATAAAAAATAGTTTTGAAAAATAGTAATTGGTTATGGATGATTAATTATTTATAATTTTAACCTAATGGATTTCAAAATTTGAATTATTTTATTTTCATTTTTTTCATAAATGTAAGATCGCTATTTGTGAAATTGAAATTTTCCATTTTCCATAATAACTCAAATTGCTTACTAATTCTAGAAATTCATACTACTTTTCTTTTTACATATTTAACATTCTTCTATTGAAAAATATTAAATTTAATGCGAAAGTTTACAATAATAAATTACATTTCATTTATAATTTCAATTTCATGGAATTACTTTGAATTAAGTATTTGTATGATTCATTTTGATATAAATTAGAGAGTCAATCGGTGCATTAATCATTTTATATACATTATATCTTTTTTGTAATATGCCCTTATAAATAATATATCATTAGTATTAACGATATTATTATAAACTTTTGAATGTTTATTTATTTAAAACACTTTGACATGAAGATGAATTTCTGTGCTGAAAAAGAAATGAAAAATAAAATATAAAGCATTAAGTGGTATTAGCATCTTAACTGATTTTCTAACAACTTTATTATTTTTTGAGAGAAAAAAGAAAAAAAAGATGATAAGATTCTAATCTTCTTTGTTACTTAAATCTTGATATTTTAAAGGTGCACGCGTCAAGATAATAAAAAGAAAGATGTGTAAAATGATATAGAAAAAAAGGTGAACGGAGACTAAAAGAGAAGATGAAGGTCTAATACAACGTTCAAGAGATCAAAGACTTTGGTTATCGACTTCTTTCTTTATAGTCGTAGCCTCAACATTATCGCTGATTGCTTTAGTATCGCGAAACGACCAAAGGCGACTCGTGGTTACCTCGGGGATCCGGTTACGCCCTACTTCTATCGATACGACAAATTGGAATGGACAAAAAAAAAGAAAAAAATGAAAGCCAAGGGGAGGAAAAAATTTGAAAAAAGTGTGAAAGTGATAAAGTATTTAGATTGTTGAAGCGACTGTTATCGGCTCTTGTCTGGCGGATTTAGCGCAAAATCAGATGCAACATCCAGCAGTTGGAGAAAGCTCTCAACAAGCAACATATTGCTGGCTTTGAAGTCCAGCACGTCGATCGTCTGTATAACATACGAGGCCGATCGATCAGTCCTTTTATTGTTGGCAGTGGAGTACCACCGCTTTCCTGCGAATACGATTTCCAACTGTGCACCCAGTGAATCAAGTCCTTTTCCGTGTGTACCTAAGTACACAATATACCCCCTCAGGCGAATAAAATGTCCAAAAGTACTTAGTCAAGAAAACGAGAATCACTGAACTTTCAACATGAAACAAATAAAAATATATTTTTCAATGAAAATAAAATAATATCTTCAAAATATAGAATTTTTAGATTGCAAGATTTTATTTGACTTTTTTTATCATTCGTCAGAGAAATAAAAGTAAACGGTCAGCGAATGTGCACACTGGAAAAACTGTCGGTCGACTAGTCGAAAGCTGTTCGTAAGTAAGCGAAAAAGAGAAAGAAAGATACACTGGCAGGTGTCCATTGCATGGGTTACTAGTCTCAGTAGTGAACGAAAATTGCCGTCAACTTTCTTCGCTTTTCTTCCTTGTCCTTCTCGTTTTTCCTTTAACGCGTTTCAAAGTACATTCCAATTGGAAACTCACATCTTTCACCGTAGCTAACTCTCCTATATATTCTTTCTTTCTAAAGTCCATTCGGGTTCCTTCATGTACCTGAAAAATAACAAAGATCTTGAATTACTATATAATATAAATCGTTTTGTTCAATAAAGTTAATGCAAAAAATAAAATATATAATTTTATATTGATATTATTTCGCAAAAAATGTGTTAGAGTAAAGAGAGAATAAGATGGCAAACAAAGAGTTGGTTTTCTCTTTGCTTTCAGGACAAAAGACAGTAAATCCGGGTCGTACTTTTCCATCTGGAATTCCGGAGCGAGGGTGCGCTAGCGCAGAATGTACGCTTGGAAAACCATTACAGGAAAAGTGTTTCGCACTGCTCGATCTCCACATTCTTCTTTTCTTCTACCACCCCCTTAGCTCTACCAAAAACACTTACAAATACACAGTAAAACTTTGAAGAAGTTTCATTTTATTTCTCATTAAACAGGAGTTTAGTATCTTTACTTGTGCGATTATAACAGAATCATTCTTGATATAAATATAAGATGAAAGGTATGAAATTTAACACTTCCTATTTATACCCACAAAATATTTTATTTCAGAACTTTCACTCGCTAAATGTATACTTGGGATGAATATATATTTTTTTCATCAATAAAAACTTTAACTCTAAAAACAATACATGAAAGATTACTTCGGGATTATTTTTTAATTAATTAGAAAAACATTAAACTAATAAATTAATTTTTTCAATCACATTTTCACGGATATTTCAAATATCAACATTGACTCATCATAAAATATTTATTGATGAAAAATAAATTGAAAATAAAATATTAAATTATTATATCATATCTTATACCAAGCATTTAAATTGGTATGATTTTTTTATCACATTTTTAAAAAGTAATCTTGCGTGTAATTGTCAATCCATAAACATCACATTGAAACCTCACATCACAGTTAATACGAAAATATTCATGTTCTTTTCGCTCAACCTACTTTGAATAGATATGTATAAAGCTCCTGTTAAACTCCCAATTTTTAACTCGGCGTTAGCCCTGAAGCAGGATCCATTATATATATTTGAGGCTCAATTCTCTATTTATATCCCGGACGCATGCTCGACTTTTTGTTCCCGAGCACTTACACTCTTAGATTTCTATACCCTTGAAAAGTGTATTTCTTTGAAAGACTCTCACACATGGCTACACCTACGTAGGTATATATTATCCAGTACTGTATGGCGCCGTCGAAAGAACGTGAATAAAATTGCCGCACGATCGACCACGGGTCTTCTTATTTACTCTTCTATACTATTTTTCTTCTTCTTTTATTTCTTGCTATTACTTGTGCTACCAGAGAGAATCCTGTGACACCTGGTATCACTAGGGGAAACAGCTTGCATGGGTGAACAAAAAAATCTCAAGTCAAACTTTGAAAACTTTAGAAACTGCACTATGAGACTGCCTTCTATACTGAAACAGAATATAAAATATAAATTTAAAATATACTGAAATGTTATTTAATATGTTGTTAATTGAAAAAGTAGTATTCTATACTTTTACTTGAAAGCCAGATATTAAAATATTTTTCAATGGAATAATATGTAAAAAAAATTATGCATATTGAATTGCACTTTTTATTAGTGAATACTATGCATGCAAGCATATTGAATTGAATTATAGATAAAAGCTCATAAGTATGGTAAAAATAGATAAAAGGTGACAGTGAATGCAGTGTATGAAATTGGATGGAATAAAATTAGTCATTCATTAAGAAATAGCTGTCAATAAAAAAAATAATAGAATATTCATTATCTCTGCTCGAGAATGTAATTGTTATTACCCAAGTGGTATTCTTTTGTCTTTAAATGAGTATAAAAATCTAATGAAAAGTTTAACGAACAAATTCATAAAAATGAGCAAATTACTCAGGCAAGTTGATTAAATTGTTTTAAATATTAATCTTTGCAACTTCCATATTTTTCATTTAATTTTCAATTTTTCGCTACATAAATATAAAAGAAACCTATGCAAAAAATATGAGAAAAATAAGTTTAATATTAGTCTAGTTAACATACCATGAGCTTTGCTGAATGAGCATAAAATGTAATTTATTTGTGGTGTTGTTTAAATAAGCAATATTTCAAAAGAATCATACACATGATATTTTCGAAAATAATGATCATATAAACTGAATATAATAGAAATTAAATTCTATAAAAATTTTATGACAATTTGGGTTCTTTTGAGGAGAGAAACATCAAGGTGAGAAATCTTAAAGTTTCCGCTTGAATAACGACTTGACCCTTGGGTAGCTTGCTAGCAGCATAGATGGTGAGTTTATTGATGAAAGAAGAGAGAGAAGGTGAAGTAAGTAAAAGAGGGATAACTCGCAAAGTGTGATGTTGGAACGAGGTATTAGAAACACGCAAGGCGTGAGTGGTGGCTGTAAGATTGCCAGGTGCGTTTTCCTGGCATATACACGAGTAGATACCTGCTTTCAGCGGGTTCTTATATTTTTGAAACACGTTTTCTATACTTCTATAACCGTACGTAGAGACGACATAAGCCGCATTTCCTTTGCTTTCATCTTTTACAATTAAAGGAATATTTCATTGTCATATACACCACACAATAATCCCCAAAAGGATAGATAGCTTTCAAAGAGGTAGAAAATGAAGCCTGTGGGATTGAAGTCGAGGTTCATAGTATTATAGCATAAAAGTTAAAAATAAATTAAACCCTTTCCGTATGTTAACTCTCAAGTTACTATCAGCGCAATGAGCATAGACTGACCTTTACTATATCCACCTACTAATTTTCAACGGTCTGTACTCACTAAATCCTCTAATTGCTCTTGGGTGCAATACTCTACTTGAGAGAGAGTAGTTACTACATTTCATTTGCTGGCCAACCCACTTCCTTCTGCATCTCTTGCGGTTAAGTGTG